TTTTAAGTTCACCTTTCAACTTTTCTGCTTCGTCAGTCAATTTTTTTACATAATGGCTTAATAGGCATATCCCAAAGTTGAAACTGTTCTAATAAATAAGTCCCGAAAAAATTACCCGTATTCTTCATAACATGCACCTTTAGTTTTAAAGTTTTACCTTTGAATGACACGTTCATAAGTTTGCCCATAAACTTAATAGGATCGCCGGTTAGACTTTTAGCTATTCGATTCGATAGATGTGGCACAAGGCCGAAAGTACGGAGCACCCAGTGAGAATCGAACTCACTACTCAGTCGTAACTGTTTTGGCGAGACAAGCTTGCTAACCGTTACACCACCTCGCGGTGCCCAAATACTGATTTTCCAAGCGTAGCTCAGATGTGGCACAAGGCCGAAAGTATGGGGCACCCAGTGGGGATCGAACTCACTACTCAGTTGTAAATGTTCTAACAAGACAAGCTTGCTAACCATTACACCATACCGAGGTGCCCAAATTAATTATGAATAAGTCTGAACTCGAATCAAGCTGTAGCCTTATATTTTTGTTAAATATTTGCACTTTAATATATTTCCTGATGTTACGACTTTCTGGTTCATCAGACTTGGTAATTTTGACAAAACTTTTTTTTGTCTTGTTCTTAATCCGGCAGTGGGAACTTTTGTGTCCCAATTTATCGCAATTAAAACATGTTTAAAAGGACAATCTCTATACCAATGTAATTAACCACACCCGAAACATGGTCTTGATGGCAAAGTAACTTTATTATTTTTTGGTTGAACCCTTTTAATTTTTCTTTGGCGTATTTTTTTTAATGTGAGCCACGCCACTCTGTTCGATGTTTTTCGAATCCTCTCTGACGCTCACGAAACGTTGACAACCTTCGGCAACTTGCTGTAAAGTAACGTCGGGCTCGTTTTCAAGCTTGTTGAGTACCCTACGATGTATTTCAGCGTCTTTCCCTGAGATCAAATCCTGGACGAAAATCAGACATTTAAAATTATTGGCGTTTAGCCAATTTGAAGTCATCGAAGTGTTTATTGACTACACTCGCGAAGGTAGTATAATCTTCGTCTTCTTTGCGGGTGAGATTCATGCATTTTCAACGCTTGTGGAACAGTGATGTTTTGGGACTGAAGAGTTCTGTTAATGATTGAACCGCCTTTTTAAATTTCAAGTCGCTGGTTTTCTTAGGCAAAATATAGTTAACAAACTTAGTATATTCTGCCGTGCCTAATTTCCTGAGGAGTAGGCGAACCTTTTTATGGTCAGCCCAAATTGCACAATCCGTTTTGTATAAGTCCTCGTAACGTTTAAAGTATGAAGCGAATGTAATTTCTTCTTCAGGGGCAAACGTGAAGTTTTCAATAGCACTCCATATAGCATTTTGAGAGAACACGTTTTCGCTGTCCTCATGTCGGCTTTTGATGGCTCTATTATACCTTTGCTCGTTCTGTGTTTGAAAGAGCATTTTTCCAGTTTTTGTTGTCTAACCTGAATTTCTAGGTGCAATTCCTCAAATTTCTTTTGGTATTCTACTTGTTCTCGTTGGAATTTCTCTTTTACTGCGGTGGTACGTAAAATTAAGAAATGAAAGGGGAGATTTTTTTTTCTCATCCTCTTAACCAACAATAAGTCTGTTTGACTTGTAAGATTCTTTTACTGAAAAATTTAAAAGCGGGAGAGAGGGTAAATTTTTACTTTACCCTATTAGTGAAAACAATGTCTGTTTGACTTGTACAGTTCTTTTACTGACTTGTTGGAATGGAAAAAATAACAAAGGTTCACCAACCTTCTTCCCAACCACTGAATTGAACTTGTAGAACTTCTATTGTTTTGAGGAGTTTCTGTTTTTCACTGTCAGTGTTGTAATTAACACAGGATATCCTTTTGTCGTAAAGTTTGATTAGAATTCCTTTCTTCACCACTGTTGTAGACACTGGCAAAAAATTTTTTTATGGTTTAACGTGAAGTCCGTTTCTTCGGATCCTTCGTCGCCAAGATGTTTTGACCAAGTAAATAGTTAAAGAAATAACAAAACATGCTTTACAGATATATCATATATTAAAAAGAAGCGAAGAAGAGTATTAAAAAGAAGAGAAGAAGAGTATTACACGATTAGTGAGTGTGTCGGATGACCCAGCGTTCAATCTATTCGACTGTTAACATTTAACAGCCCCACCCCACGCGGGATGTATGTGGCACAAGGCCGAGTTTAACGTGGGTTTCTCGGTCAAAAATATTCCCTTTGAACCCGCCTAGACGGGTTCATTGACTGTCTACCTCTTCGGGCGAAACTTTGCCCTGCGGCAAAGCTTCGTCCGAGTTCCTCTCTGCCGAGGCAGAAAGTTCGACAAAAATGAACAATCTGTGCGACTGTTCTCCCAAGGCCTTCTCTCCTACTAATCTTATAGTTAGCGAAAGAGTCCAACATAGACTCTTTAGAGGGAGGACACCACAACATTTTCAAACAAATAAAATCGATTTATCTAAGCTAAAATTAAGTTCTTGTATCTTTTCAGATTATTATTTTAATTTTTTTAAAAAGTAGTAAATAAATTAAGTTTTAGATAGTTATTTCTTTTTAAAGAAGCAAAAACTATAGACTCATTTCTATTTCTAAAATATAGGGGATGGGACCCCAAATCCTCACCCCAGAACGGCCCTAAAATCAATTTTCAATCGACTTTTATTTCATAGCTACCAAATTTTCCTACCTTGTTAAAATTACCGAATTTTCCATTACCGAATTTTCCGGGTACCGTGCAGAACAATGACTAAAAAGAAATGTTTATTCGTAAAAAAATCCAGTAAACATTCATTAAAGAAACCTGAATCTTAAAAAACAAAAACAAGGGAACCGATATTTTATTTTTATTAAAGCGATTCTTAAACTTTCATTAAAGAAATCCTTTTTAATCCGAAATAAAAAGTATTAACACAATAGTTTTTACCTCGAGAAACTATCGGTTTTATTAATTCTTTTTTTATTTTCTTTAACAAACGATTTATTTTATATTTTCTAAAAGATAATATCACTTTTATTGTATTTTCTTATTTAAGATTAAAGGATGTAATTCATAAATTGACGACGTAATGGACATTCATAAAAATGCAGTATACATTTACGAGGTAATTTTTTATTATTAATTTATATATTATATACATTTATTTATAACAATTATTTTTATAATTAAATGTTATTGACATTTGGAAAAACGTTCATAAAAATATGTTTCGAAAATAATATCCTATACATTTCGCCTCTAATGGCTTCATCAGATTGATAACGAAACGATGCGTTGTGTGTGTGTGTTATGCATTTGTGTGTATTTAAAATAATTAAATCTTGTATTATTTTACCTAAGCTGGCCTTGCTGGAGACTAAAAAGAGAAAGAAAATGAGTGACTTAAAAAAAAAGAAAAAAGAAACGTTACTCATATGTGTACAGGTTTGTCTTCTCGGCTGTGATCGCTTTCAACAACAACAACAAACGAAGACTTGTTTTTCAATACTTTCAGGTTTGGAAGTAGCAACATTATGATCTCTCACTTAAACGTGAGATCCTTCCTTTAGCTTCAAAAGGTAGACTAATATCTTCCTAACTTCACTGGCCTCGGCGACTCCTGATTCCTCACTACTGGTCCTTCTGTCACTGGCTGCTGGGCAGCTCCAACCCGTCTGGTCACCTACCTACTTCTCTCATGGCTGGACCCACTTTCCACGAATTCCTGCCTCTTTCTGCTTATATGGATAATCCTGGCGTCCCACCCCTTCCATCTACTTGTCGTCCGGAAGATTTGGGACCGCCCCAAAGCCACATGGAAGGTCAAATCTTCAAAGGACAACTTTTATAACTAAATCATTAATAAAATTTTTGTTTCCCAATTCAAAGGCAGCTGTAGACATGAATTCTGATACAATACACGAATGGCGCCACATAAATAAATCACGAGGAGAATTGTCACTTCTAAGTGAAGTAGACAAGGTCTTCAAAATGAAAGAAAGAAAAAGGAGACAATTGAAACGAAGCCTTGATATAAAGAATAAGAGTAACGCACCAAAAGTTAAACAGAAGTTGAAATAACAAATTCAAACGAAGGTATAGAGAACCAGGTGTTATGAAAAAGGAAACAGATTCTTCAGACAAAACAAGATCTTCAAATAAAATGCCAAGAAACTATATTGAGAAATGGGGAAAAAATAGAGATAAATGACCAACCAGGAAGTCGAGGAGTTCTGGTGTAAGATGTGGAAAACTACAAAATACACAATGAAAAAGCTACATGGATCAAGCAACAACAAGAACAACACGCACATATAGTGCCAAAAATGGGCGGATATTGCTTACTATACCAGTGACTGTTGCAAGTGCCGAAAGAAGTTTCCGCAAACTGAAACTTATAAAAAAAAATTATCTGCAATTGACAATGAGAAATGAAAGGTTATCCGAGTTCGCAATAATTTCCATTGAAAATGAATATATCCAATCCCTTTACAGTCTACTCTGATGAATTCGTGAATACATTTGCTCTAAAAAACAATATGTAAAATTTACTATTTTTTAACCATCATGTTGAATGTGCTAAAATTATTCAACGTTTTAACAAGATAAATCTAAAGTCGATGTTAAAATTTGCCGCAAAACATTGTAGATTTATTTAAGACGGAATGATCTATTATAACATGTTCCTAATTTGTATTAAGATATATTTATTTTCAATTTTTCTAGTTGAACTGTTCACCTATATTGCATATGATCAATTATTCTACATAATTAGATTACAATAAAATTTGTATTTTACATTAATATTACCTTATGAAGATTAAGTTGTAGCAGAGTGGGGGCGTATCATAGCTTGCACCTTGCACCGGTCTTGTTCATACCTTTCCCGACGGTATTTGCGCGTAAGTGAATATAACGAACTTAACTGGAATTTGAACTCTGCTGTCCAATTAACAATTCCGAGCCATTATTCATTACACCGCTCGCACGTCCAAGCTTACAGCACCTGGTATCCCCAAGCGGTCGCCCATCTAACTAGGCTCGACGTTGCTTAACTTCAGTGATCGTACGGGAACCAGTGACAAAAAAAAATCAAGGATCATTTGACACCTTCATTCTATTATGAACAGCATCCCAATTATAAAATTATAAAACATCAATATTTTTCACTTATGGCAAATGTCATGGATAGACGAATGTCTAATGGATGTTGAGCAACAAATAATAGTCCAAAATACTTTTCTCTATTTTTTTTACAAAAGGACTATTTTCTATCAGTTGTGCCGTTTTTTTTTGGGGGGGGGTTGTAATCTTATTGGTCAAAAATGTTGAAATAAATTTCGGTTTTTACTTGCACAAAAACGTTTGCATTTCAAAGACTGTTTTTCGATTTATTTCAAGCATGCATATACAAAGGCGGTCTTGTAACAGACAGGTTACTAATTGTAACGGCTGCAGTTGAGAACTTTCAAAATAAATGAATTCAACACTTGAAGGATTTTATATATATATATATTACATACAAAACAACATATTTCAGAAAAGAAAGAGAATATGTATGTGTAAGTGCTACTGTAGTGATGGAAAAATAAATAAAGAAAAATAAGCAAATAATCACAAGGATACCAAAATTTCACCATCTCTAAAAATAGATGTGTATTCAGAATCGAATTCATATTTCGACCAACCAATCAGAAACCAACCCGACCAGGATACGAACATCATAGTCATGCGAGCGAATCAGAAACAAGAACTGCTCTCAGCCAGGATATAAGTTACTAATAGTGAGTCAATGAGTAGCGAAGCGACACTTTCGAAAAAGATCTCTAAATATGTATGTAACGAGAATGAAAAACCACCTAAATCAGAATCAATGAATTAATTCTATCCTTTTTCCGATGCTACAGTCATCGTAAAATATCCAGAGCGGAAATACGACATATTCGCAACACCCACAACCCTGCATATCTACATTCAATACCTAGCCCCTTCTACAACGTTTTAAGCAAACGGCTGCTATATGTGGATACATACATATATATCGACATGCTCCTGGACTTTCTCGTATGCAACAGGATATTTAGATTTTAACTCTTGAGCCTCCAACTTTCACGCTATGCTATGCACACACACACACACACACACACACACACACACACATATATATATATATATATATATATATATATATATATAAGGTTAAAAATCAGAGTTGAATCATACCAGGAAACAGTAATTTAAATAGTGCTCAATACACGCGTGAAAAAATAAAATAAAAATAACATGTAGAGCTATAAACTTTAAAAATTAGGAGGTCAAATAGAATACGCGACCTTGGTTTCGACCTCACGGTGTCATCAGGCTAATTCTATCGACTGACCATCCAACGCTTTATAAAAATAAAAAAAATAAAAATAAAAATACAAAGAACGCTACATTATTATTTTCAAAAATAAATAAATGAACAAATGCACGACGGTCAAACGCATAACGTGGAGTGTAATAGAAAGGAGGGGATAAGGAAGAGGAAGAAGAAAAAGGAGAAGAGCGAAGGAAACAAAAGAAAAGAAGAAAATAAATTTATTGTAAATGTATAAAGAAAAGAAGTAGAAAAGAAAAATAAAGAAAAGCAAATGTAACGTAACTTTAAGGAAGGCTGTCTTGTAAAGGATGGGGGAAGGGAAGCAAACGTATTGTAAAAATAACAGTTGGATTTTAAATCATGTTTTTATGCGGCCTGGTAGTCAATTAATGAAAAAAAGTTATATGAAGAGAAGGACTTAACATTGCAGATCTCTGGTTTAAAAGTTTGTTTTTTTTTGGGGGGGTGGGTCTGGAAATATCATAATCGCTAGATTCTCATGTTGACAAAGGTAGCAAATGCGGTTATGGTTGCTGTATGGTTTTACCTTATTTTTTTTTAATTTTCCACTTTACGAACAAGTCCCTGTTGTTTATTTCTTTTAGATTCCACATATGGCAAGCAAGTTTGGTAGAATATCTAAGATTTGTTAGCTTAAAAGATCTATGGTTATACCATCTAAGCTTGAAAAAACTTCAGTGCAACCTATATATATTTTAATTTTGACCATTAATATCATTAAAAATTAATATCTGCAGAAAGCCGGACAAACATCGATTCAATGGTTGAATTGGTAATGTCTTTTATATAGCAGAAAAGAATAGTAGAGAAGAAACGGGTTACAGAAAAAAAAAAAAAAAAAAAAAAAAACTCATACACTGGATTCTAGACAGAGAGAGAGAGAGTGTGATTATCTTGTTATCTTTAAATCGTCTCAGAACGATATATGACTCTTGCGATGGAGGGATAAAGATTTCTGTGTGGGGCTTAAAGTTATAGTGGTGTTCCTCCTCCCAACGCTCGCCTGGGCCAATTCTCTCTTCAAGAATTTTCTCACATCTGACTTTTTTTAGCATAACTACGCATTTATATAGATAAACCCGGCTGTTGTAACTGACCCTCGGCCCTACTACTTCGCACGCGATTATCACGGGGTTCTGGCTGCTTCAACCAAAATCATGTGAATTCCAAAGTTCCTTCTAGCTTACTCAGCTCTATTTCAATTTTTAATCGATAAAAATTATTTTGACCATTTCCATTGTCTTCTGATGATCCAGATTCAATGGGTACAACTCCTCCCCTAGATCAGATTTCCCCATCAGTAAAAAAATTCTCTGATTTAATTTCGCTATTCAAATCTACTCCAATTTCATTAAAAAAAAAAAAAAATGTGTGTGTGTGTGTGTTTCCCACTCTCTCTCTCTCTCTCTGTCACATTTCCTCCCCTACCCATCTGTCATTTACTAGTAAATGACACAACATTTCATATCAACAAATATGAGAAAACCCAGTCCAACATGCTTCTTACTAGGGGCTACTTAAACATACGTCTCTTCCAGCATGCAAAGGTAGAGTCCTCAGTTCTTCTTAGGGCTCATTATGCCCATTTACATTTTCATTGTCCTTACGATACATATGTACATGCAACTTCCGGTTAAAGTTCACTGTTTTGGTGATCTCGTGCAATAGAACCTTTTCACATAGTTCACTAGTTCGAGGGTTCTTTCCTTTTTTTTTTTTTTTTTTTTTTTTTTGAAGTTCGCAACACTCCTTACCAATTATTTCAGTCTCATTACTAAAAAAAAAAAAAAAAATTTGATTTATTTCGTAAATCTGTCCCTCCGATTTTGTCTCGCCTTCACAACAGGCTTTGTCGAATCTTTTGTTGGTTCAGGTCCTTCCACGACAATCATGGACTCTTCTTCAATATCAGTTAGGGGTCCCAATGCACTCGGGTCGGACCTATCTTGGTAAAGTGCACTAACTGGAATCCCTCCTTCACTCATGCACTCCCATGCCAGTTTATTCTGCCCAGTCAACAACACCGCACGCCTCTTCAACCACCACCAAACCAGCAAGGCCATGACTATCATTAGTATAATTCCCACAACGGTCGGCCAGGTTATTATAGCAACCAAATTCTCTCTCCAGCCCGAATTCGGCGTACCTATCCTATCTAACTCCGACTTCAACCGTCCAAGATCAATCTTATCGATTGGCTTTAACAACGCCGGCATCTTTTCTAGCGACATCTTAGGAATCTCTCTTACAATGGGTTCCCACAATCCCGTCCATCCACTGGTATTCGTTCCTACCAGCTCTAACAAAGCCTCATTCTCTTCAAACTTCTCTTCTGCTTGGTAGTAGGGAGGTAAAGAGATAGATGGACCATGAGCTCCACAACTAATGGGTAGCTCTACAAAAAAAAAAGGGGAATAACTCTTATCGTAGTGGTGGGCTTCCCTTCACACACCTTAGATAATTCGATCTCTTCTTACCGCCCAAATTTCGTCTGGGACACTGGTTGCTTTAGGTAACATTACACTAGCCAACACCTCTACCTGACAATGATCTCTAATTCCCTTCTTATTTTTCTTAAATAAATCTAGTACACACAGATTGTGACTACCTGTCACGTAAATTGGACTTACAGACCCACAGATACCTAAGGCATCATTCTTGCATTTTTCTGCTTCTCCCTTTGTTAATAGCATAAACTCTGTCCTGGCTAGGTTTAGGGCAACAAATTCTGTCTCTACCTTGTACCTAGCCACCGCTCCTATCTTCGGCCTTAGTTTTGGATAGGGAAGGGGAAGATTCATCACCTGATAAATTTCAAAGGTACTATCTCTGTCCAGTAATGGAACCGGCACTAGCACTAGCAATTTGTCATCTTCCAACAAGGTAGTACATCCCAAGGCGCTATAATACCTCCATAACTCCTGGGGTGGGTCTACAGGTAATCTAAGGTGATGGGGTAGATTGGCTTGTATCTCCAGTACTACTTCCTTTAATTGTTCTGGCGTTATTATACTCGAAGACAGGTGCCCCAGTGACAGCATGTCTAATTGTGCTCTCACATGCTCTAACAACACCATTAAAGAGCAACTTGTTTGATGTACCTTACTCATTACAGCTAATAATTGAAAATACCCCTCTAATTTCTGTAATTTGGTTGTTACAGACATGGTTACATTTATCATTTCTTTTCTAAAAACCTGTAGGTGAGAAATCAGCAAATTGATACTCCATCTATTCTTAGCCAATTCCAGCCTAGTAACATTGAGTATAGATACGCTCTCTCTAACCGACTGAGCCATTGCTTGTTGTCTCTGTTCTACCACCTTTAATTTCCTCTTAATTACTCTCACTTCATCTTCGGAGACTGTGCCAAACAACACGCTTAAGGCCTTTCCCATTATAAGTAATACTGCCCTCTTTTTGCCTGGTCCGTAACAACTTTATTCCTTTCAAATAGTAACTCATATCCTTCCATTGTCTCTCAAGTATTAGGGATTCCTGAGCTAAGGGGTATAATATACGGTGGTATTCCGGAGTCTGTAAATATTCTCCGGCGACTTGTTTCCTGGCTGTATCTAGTTTGTCCACTTCGGTCTACAACTGACCCAGTAACTTCTCATATGGCTGCAGGTCTATCACCAAAGTTATCAACCACTTTGATCTAGTTATAATCACTTCGCTAGTCTTCTTAAATACAG